GCACATGGGGGCGGGCAAGGGTTGCAACAACCCGTGGCCTCTGATGCTCGGCCCTTCACTTGCTAGCAAAGTAAGGCTATTCCGATACGAAAAACAGCCACATCTCTCTCATACCCCGCCACCGAAAAACTGGCGCCCAAATCCTGATACATCTTAGTACTCCCGGATGCACCGCAAGGCGCGAATGGTGAAAACTCTCGGAGTACTTCTTCAACGGCAAGACTCCGGTTACAAAAACAAACGGTATCCGGCATCTCACACTTCAGGTCGGGATACACCCGCAAAACCCTTCTCACTTTCCACTGGAGATCTTCCTCTCGAGGGATTCCTAACCTCCAAGGTCACCCTCTGTGCCTCTAACACTCTAATCAACAAAGTGTAGGCTGCGCAACAACAGAAAACAAGGCCGCAGCCGCCAACAGATTCGCCCAGTAGCAAATCAAACTCGCCCAAGTGCTCCCAACAATCCCCATTCCCCCGGATGGCTATAACTAGCTACAATCACCAATGGTCTTCCTAACTAAGGGAAATCGGCCAACAACATTGGGCCTCCTGGATGATAGTGCAAACTCAAAATCATAAATCCTCGATGAAACCCCATCCATTCCTCTGCCTCAAATTCAAGTCTCTCTGGGTTAAACAGAACTTCAAACTTCTTGTGGTCCGAGAAACACCTCGAACTTCTTCACCATAAAGGTAGTGCCTCGCAGATTTTCAAAGGCAAGATCACAGCCGCTAACTGACTAGGTCGTGTGTGGGGTAATTCTTCTCGTGTATTTTCAAAACGGAACGTGAGCCATAAGCTACACTTTTCCCTCTCTTGCATACAACACACAACCGCAAACCTCTCCGTGAGGCAATCAACAAATAAACCGCATAAACCCAACCCTCTGTCCGGAATAAATCTAAACAACGGAGCGGTGTCAATCAACTTTCAGCTCTTGGAATCGACTTTTCAGAACAAGTCTCATCCACACAAACTATGACTCCTTCCGAGTCAAGTCCTAGTCAAGGTGACGCTTAAACCTGGAAGAAATCTTTCAACCTTTAAACCGACAGTAATACCCAGCTAATCCTAGAAACTGCGGATGCTCAAAACACACTTTTAGGCTAGTGCCAAATCTTGACTGCCTCAACCTTGGATGTAATCAACAGACACCCTTTCCGGATACCACGTGGCCTAAAGAATTTGAACTTCCCTCAGCCAGAAAACTCACACTTCCCAAACTTGGAATAACAGCCTATAGGGCTCTAAGACTCAAGCACCACTCTCAAGTGTTCTCGTGCTCTCCTCTGAAGGCGATAGATAAGGAATGTCGTCCACGAAGATGCCACATATCGGTCTAAGAAACTCCCGGAAAATCCCGGTTCCATCAAGTCCATAAAAGACTGCGCGTCGTGCATTGGTAAGGACACAAATGGCACACCAGAAACTCAATAATGGCCATACCGCGTACGGAATGCCGTTTTCGGAATATCCTCCTCCCTGACCCTTCAACTGGTGGTAGACCCGTCTCAAGTCTATCTAGAGAAACAACGGGAACCCTTCCAAACTGGTCAATAAATCATCTATCGGGGCATAGTGATACTTATTCTTAAAACCGTAGCCCGATTCAACTTCCGGTAATCAATACACAATCTCAAGGCACATCTTTCTTTTTAACAAAAAGAGGGCCGGGGCTCCCACGGCGAAACACTAGGGCGAACAAAGCCGCTTATCTAGCAAATTGCCTGGGAGCTGAACTTTCAACTCAACCAACTCTGCTGGAGCAAAACGGTAAGGTGCCATAGAAATCGGCGCCGTGCGAGCACTAAATCATAGAAGAACTCTACCTCATCGATGAGGCGGCCAGAACTAAATGAGGTCTTCGGGAAAGACATTCGAATACTCAGCAAACCACCCTCGGCAATACATGCTGGTCCTCAACCACTCTCACCACTTCCATAAGCTGGCAAGTAGACTACTAAGCTCACTTCGAACTCGCGAATCATACCCCGCGTGGCAAAACACTACCAACACCGGTCTGGCCAAAGAAATGGAACCACTCCCCGCTAAAGGTAACATAACTGAACCCTCTGCGGTAGCAATGATAACAGCAACCGGTATGACGATAGCCAGTTCATACCCAAAATACATCAAACCCTTCATGGGCATGACAACAAAACGG